TAGTCATAGTCAGTTACTTTCTGAGCTCCTTGGCATCTGAGCATGGATATAAAGTCCTCAGGTAGATTTCAGTGGTAATGTTTTTCACATCTACTAATTATTAAGGAACAAATTTTTATGCTTTATTCATATGGAAGCACAACAGTTCCCACTTAGTCAAATCCATCCTGAGCAAAAAGAGCAATGCTGGATGTCAGGAAATAGGAATCAGGGAAAAAGCTAAGGAACAGGACTCAACAGAGAGAGCAGTTTTCTTAGGCTGAGAATAAACCCAAGAGGGACTCTCCTCACGGCCCAGGGCTCAGAGGGGTAACTCTCCTCATGGCCCAGGGCTCAGAGGGGTGAGCGTCTCTTACAGTCTCAGGGTTTTTACGTTTTATTCCTTCAGGGAGTGCCCTGTGGTTGGGATTCTGTTGTCAATACAAAAGCACAACTCTCACTTTCAAAGGGGATAAGAGATATTTTATTCTGGAGTCAAATATGAGTGACCATAGCCTGGGAACACAGATTCAGGTTACTCCAAATTCCATGTTCCAATGTGCAACAAGTTTCGTGAAATCTTTATAGTAACAGAAAAAAGAAAAGTCATAAATCCAGACACTTTTCAAATACATTGGTTGGAACATCAAGTAGGCAGTTACAGCAAAGGAGAAATCTCAGCTGTAGGCCTAGGATGGCCTAAAAAACCAAAAAGTTTTTTGATCTGTTAGTAGCAGAACGTTAAGTCAGAAACAGGTGAGCAAGGAGTGGCTAGTTAGAGGCTAAAGAGAGCTCAAGATAAATTGTAATTAGGCTTTGGACCTGTAACATTCCAAGCTCTCCAAAATCACTGAAGTTCTAACCAGATCAGCCTTTGCAAAAGGTTCAGTTTCAAGACGCAGTTTTTCTGGGAATAAATCAAGTCACATAATAGATGCTAAGGAGTAGGTTGTTTGATTGCTTTGTTGGTTTTGGTTTTGTATTTTCTTTTGAATCAGGGTCTTGTTCTGTAGCCCTGGGTGGCCTGGAACTTTCCATGGAGACCATGCTGGGCTCAAATTTGTAGCAATCCTCTTGCCTCTACTTCCCAAGGGCCACGGTTACAAGTGTGTACCACCATTCCCAACAAGTAGTTTTTGTTGTTGTTGTTGTTGTTGGTGGTGGTGGTATGTGAGTGTGTGTGCATGTGCGTGTGTGTGCACACATGTGTTTTAGAACATGCCCCCCCTCTCTTTTTTTTG